CCCCCCACCACTGACCAGCACCACGACCACTACCACCACCACTGACCAGCACCACGACCACCCACACACATAAACTTAATTCCCAATCACCTTGGTGTTACTTGTTGGCAGTTTAAACTCTTGAACTATGAAATGATTTCAAAGACATTTTTCGATATTTTAGTGGCTGCATAAGTGGTAACTCATGAATAATCTTAACAAAATTAAGGGAATTTTAAATGCACATAACCATTTCTTTAAAGAGTTAGTTTTTTCTGTATTTCTTTTAAAAAGTTCTACAATATTAGAAGGGGGGCCTTTTATGTTGGTGGTAATAACATGTAAGGAAGAAGGCAAGTTGCTAAGGACATCTCAGTATGAATTATTTAAAACGTTTCATTATGGAATATATCAAACCTATGTAAAAGTGGAGAGAGTAATACAATAAACCCCCATATATCACACCAGCTTAAGCAGTTATCAACTCATGGCTAATCGTACTTCGTCTATATGTATATTAACTCTCCCCCGCCCCATTGGGATTATTTTGAAGCACATAACAGACATCTTTCATTTTATCAATAAATCTTTTAACATTTATGTCTAAAAGATAAGGATTTTTAAAAAATCATAATATAGTTATCCCACATTAACAGTAATTTCTTTTTTTTTTCCTCAAGGTTTTAACAGTAATTACTTAACATTAGAACATTAACAGTAATTTCTTAATAGGCATAACTGATCTGGATGGGTGGGAGAACTGAGAGCATTTCTATAACAGGCACTGTCTGCTGTCTTTTTGAGTTTGCTCTATAGCTTTAAATGAAGTGATTAAAGGAAAGCTAAACTTTAGCCATAATAAGTTGACCTTTTAGTGAAATGCATGTTATTAATGTATTTAATGAGATGCATTACAAACTGCAGTGAGCACCATGTTTCATTACAGGTCTAAAATGCAATATCATTAAAGACCTTTAATGGAAACACTGGTTGACATTTTGATGTTTCCTATAAGCAAAACATCCAAGAACACAGAGTAATGTAATATAAATATAGAGGATGTGTTAAAATTTTTTACTTGCCTAAGAGTATGAAAACAAATTCCATTATTAATAAATTATATTTTGTTTGGTTCCCCTCATGTTCTCACTTCTAGTTCCTGTTTACCCTCTTATGTCTCTGTAGCCCTTTCCCATGACCCCCAGTTATTTTGACTTGAATAGACTAAAATTTTTTTTTTTTTTGTCTTTTTTTTTTTTTTTGTCTTTTTTTTTTTTTTTCGGGACCGGCAACGGATCGCAACCCCCAGTGTCGTGCCCGTACCGGACCGGGACCGGCAATGGGATCGCAACCCTCAGTGTTGCTCCCGCACCTCGCTCAGCCAGTGAGCGGCCGGTCTGTATGTGGGATCCGAACCCTCGGCGGGAGTGCCCCCACGCTCCCAAGCGGCGCACTGTAGCAGTGCGCCACCCGGCCGGCCCCAGACTAAAATTTTTTTTTTTTTTGTCTTTTTTTTTTTTTTTCGGGACCGGCAACGGATCGCAACCCCCAGTGTCGTGCCCGTACCGGACCGGGACCGGCAATGGGATCGCAACCCTCAGTGTTGCTCCCGCACCTCGCTCAGCCAGTGAGCGGCCGGTCTGTATGTGGGATCCGAACCCTCGGCGGGAGTGCCCCCACGCTCCCAAGCGGCGCACTGTAGCAGTGCGCCACCAGGCCGGCCCTAGACTAAAATTTTTAATGCTAATTTGACCTGGGCACTAATAGATACCTTAAAGAATAACATTTAAAATTTTTAATTTATCTTTATGTAGGCAGTACATTCACATTGTTCAAAATTCAAAAGATACTAAAGACTATCAGTGAAAACCTTATCATCCCTGTACCCCTGCCACCCAGATCCCTCTCCTGTAGGCAACCAATATTATCAGTGAAATCCCCCGTTTTACTTAGTTGCCTTAGGGGGCAAGTCCATAAACGAACATGTCAGAGTTCACTCAATTAACACTTTATGGGTTCATGGCAAGGTTCTCACAATGATATGTAGAACCTGAAGTATTCTTAATTACTTGGGATTGGTTTAAGTATTGCTTGGGATGAAGTTACTTTCAGCCTTCTCCAAGTATAGCATGGTATAGGCTTAAGGAATCTTGTTACTGTGCACTTCATTTAGCCAAGGTGACATGAGTAACATTGATTTTTTTTTGTTGTTTCAGCCGATGGCTATCATTTTTAAAAATAGCTTTACTGTTCTAATTATAAAAGTATGTCATGCTTTTTTCAGAAATTCAGAAAGCACATAAAAGCACAAAGAAAAAATAAGGATTACCTGTAATCCTGCTGCCCAGAGGTAACCATAGTTGTCATTTTGATGAATATCCTTCCAGACCTTGTTTGTGTTTACACACACACACACACACACACACACACACACACACACACACACACACACTTTTTAAAAAAAAACAGAAATGGAATCATATAAATATGTACTATTTTGTAAGCTTATTTTTTCTACTTAGTGTATCATTTCGTGTCAGTATATTTAGATGTACATCAGCATTTTCAATGGCTACAGAGTATTCCATTTTATAAATTTACTGCAATTTATTTAACCAATTTGTATTGATGGATGCTTAGGTTTATTTTAGTTTTCCATTTTTATAAAGCATGCTTTGATAAACATCCTTGTACATACATATTTGTGCAATTTGTCTAAAAGTAGCACTGTCCAACAGAAATATAATGCAAGCCACATATGTGATTTAAATTTTCTAGTAACCACATTAAAAAAAAAAGTAAAAAAAAACAGGTAAAATTAATTTTAGTAATAATATTTTATTTAACCCAATATGTCAAAAATATAATTTTAACATGTAATCAATATAAAAGTGTTAAATGATATTTTACATTCTTTTTTCATGTTGTGTTTGAAATCCTCAGTATATTCTACAGTTAACAGCTCATCTCAGTTTGGACTAACCACATTTTGAGTGTTTAGTAGCCACATGTGGACACTGTTGGACTGCATAGATCTGCATTCCCTGGGAATGTAATTGCTGGGATAAAGGACTTGTACTATTTTTTTTTTTTAAGGCTTTTGAGATATATTGCCAAACTGTCCCTTAGAAGAATTGTAAAACTTTAAATTCTCTTCTGTAGCAGTTGTTTTCCTACATTTCTGCCTCCACAGGCATTATTGATCTCTTATTTTTCCTAAACTGTAGATGGGAAATGAAGGCAATCATTTCTTGATAACTTTCTATTTGATATTTACATAATACCTGTTGACTTAGCATTGAAATATGTGCTATGTTTTGTCTATTTATTAAAGAATGAGTTTTGTGTAAAATACTTTTTTTTTTTTTCCCTTTTGTCTTTTTTTCGTGTCTGGCAACGGATCGCAACCCTCAGTGTCGCGGAACTGGTCTGTATGTGGGATCCGAACCCTCGGTGGGAGCGCTGCTGTGCTCCCAAGCGGCGCACTGTAGCAGTGCACCACCGGGCCGGCCCTGAGTTTTGTGTAAAAAGACTTTTGGTCTCTGTAGAGCTACTACTTTGTCCAAACTGGTTTATTAGGCATTTATATTATGTAGAGAGTAAAGTTGGATCACAGAGCAAGTACTTTTCCAAAGTAACCAAGTGGTGGAACCAGAGTGTCAGATTTTTATGTGGTGATTCCGCCTGCCCTGCAAAGATGAGCCCTAGATCAGTCACAGTGCTGTGGAGGTTAAGGGCAGCTAGAAAACTACTGAAATCAATCTAGTTAGAAAATTCATTTACTATTTTGCGGTTGTGTTTCTTAGGAGTGAGTGTTGTCATCAGTACCAGAGACAGTTGTTTTGGTTTTTTTGTTTTTTCATTACCTGCCATTTATTACATCAACGTTGGGGGAAAAAAAAGGCATTTTAAACAAAAAGTTTGACATTTAAAAAGAGGGCTTTTATAATGCTGATAGACTCATCTGAGAGTACATGATTTATAAATACATAAATATCCATGCACATTTTTACAGTGATAGCTACTGGAAAAATGAGAACTTTTAAAAAGCCAATCTGGATAAATTCCTTTTCATCCCAACTGCCTCTTTATGCTGGTAATAACAGGAGTCTTAAGAGTTGCTGTGGTCAGTGTCACATTCATCCAATCCTCCTAAGCTGATGATGAAAATGTGATAAATCTTCTGCCTTAGATTTGATACTTTTTCATTAATTCACTTCTGGTAGTAAACTGGGGCAGGTCTTCCACTTCAATCCCATCTGCCATTTCCATCACCTTGTCTAAAAGGTCTTTATTGTAGCTGCAGCTGAGGAAGAGGTGTTTGGCCCAGACCATGGAGAGGGATAGCTGCTGGTCCAGAGGGCCGCCGCCATCCGGTGGGTCGCAGTAGTCGGGCAGGTGGCACAGGATGAATTCCATGCGGGCCTTCCATTGCTTCTCGCTTTCCCAATAGGATCGGAACTGCTCCGTGAAGTCAGTCGCCTGCCGCAACCCCGCAACCAGCTCCTCCACTGCCTTGGCCACCTTGCCACCTACCATGGCACCGCCACTGCCACCGAGCCAGAGAGTTTTAATAGTGATGAGTTAGCTAAGGAAGCAACCCTGACTTGGAGTAGCTAGTAGTTCCAGAGCGGTATCACTTTATCCACTATATTCATGGTGAAGTTGTACATATCATTGAATGTTGGAGCCTCTTTGTATGTACATTTAATTAACTTAGAGATAACTATATGTTCCTGGCCAAAGAAAAAGAGGGAGAGAGAAACAGTTTATATAGTGCCAGTAATTCTGCCTGCCATTTTATTCAGTGAGCGAATGCCATGGGGTAAGCATGAGATGGCAGGTGTAATTTGTTGTTGCTCTTTTGGTTTTTTTTTTGGTGGCTGGCAGGTATGGGGCATCTTTTGTTGCCTTGGTTAGTTTTTGTTCCTGGGTACCTCCCCAGTGAACATCTGGATAAAGACTTTTTTTTTTTTTTTCCTGTCTTTTTTCGTGTCCAGCAACGGATCGCAACCCTCAGTGTCGCGCCCGTACCGGACCGGGACCGGCAACGGGATCGCAACCCTCGGTGTTGCTCCCACACCTCGCTCAGCCAGTGAGCGGGAACCGGTCTGTACGTG